ACACACACACACACACACACACACACACACACACACACACACACACACACACACACAAAAAAACATATGCCTTCACTATATACAATATAAACACTCTGCAGTACAAATATCTGCATAAAAACGCTCAACTTAAAGAAAATATAACCTTGGAGACTTTACAGGCAGAACAAACTAGGAGCAAGTTAAAACACAGTGATCCAGGTTAGCACCATGTAACAATCATTAAAATAAGTAGCCTAGTTCTTTTCACGTGAAGTTCTTTCCCACACAGCCACCTCAGGCTGGAGCCTTGAAAGCGGCACATCTATTCGAACGGATTTGTTTTCTTCATTATCTTATGGCCACTTGGTGCTTCTGTGCGTCGCCGTGGAGATGGAGGTAAACAGCAGCAGCGAGAGGAGGGGGCGGAGCATAGGCGCTAGTGAATGGAGCCAAGTTATTAGAGAGCCTCCATGTCCCTGGGGCTCATTAAAGTTTCAGTGAGTATACGCCTGTCTGGGGTGCAAAGCACACAATATTGGAGGTACAGAGTGTTGATCCTGTAAGGTCACCTGTGGGGAAACGACTCAAAGCAAAAACACTGTTTTTGTCTTAATCAGCTGYCCTAATTAAAGACATTTTCCTTATGCATCATGGAAGCTAGTTTAGTGTTTCTTGTGTGAGTACTGACTCATATTCATACTGTTGTTGCATGTTTTTAACTTATTTTTACATCATTGCAGCCTGAGAACTTTTGCACATTTTGTTAAATTTATCCAGTGGTGGGCACAGTTCCCCTAAAGCACTAAAGCACTAATAGGGGGAACTAATTTTCTGATTAGTGCTTTAGGGATTTTGCTAATTTCTTAATTTATTAGTGGATTAGCACTTGCTAAATTTATGGGCTAAATTAAGCACTAATTTAGTTCATTAAATGTTATTAATATTATTGTCAACAGCTGAGGGTGAAAGCTGTCAGATCTGTTGGTCATATGTGTGTCACTTATCCACCAGATCAGTGGTTTTCAATTTTTTTTTTGCTTCCGACCCACAAAATAACTGTTGCAGACACTCGTGACCCCATGTATTACTTGTTTACGTAGCAAACTTTGCCAATAACTGTTAAACATGAGAACAATAACTATAAACAAACCTAGTAAATATGATACTAATTTTTATTCAAGATTATTTTAAAAAATTGCAATAATCATGATGAAAATATTCCATTAGCATTTTTTTGTGCATGTGTGTGATCATTGATGTCTGAGAGTCATCTGGGGACACGCACTCGATGTTTTGTGGCCCACAAAGAGGTCTCGACCCCAACTTTGGGAACCACTACACTAGATGAAATATTAACAATCTGAACACAGAAAATATTGTCTCATGTTGACAATGAGGAATGTTGGGTCAGCTGGGTTTTTAGTGCTTTAGAATTAGCTTTTACTAAAATTTTTAAGTGTGTTGGTGCTTCAGAATTAGGGGACCTAAATATTAAAGTTAGTGCTTTAGGGTTAATGCAACTAATTTTTAGACTAGTACGGCCCACCACTGCATTTATCCATTCATATCTCAAAATGTCTACTCAGGAGATGGGTGCCATGAGTTTTGGTTTAATTGCTAATAATACATATTTCTCCATAGAAATGCATCAAGATCTCTTAACTGTTTCAGCATGCTCTAATTTTAGCCAATATTTTACTACTTTTAGCTGCTGTTCGAATATTAGCTAGTTTAGCTTTTAGTTAGCTTTTCACTTCTTTTAGCCTCTCCTTTTAAGCATTTACCTGGCCTTTAGGTACTTTTAGATTTAGCTAGCCTTTTGAGGAATTCTGTAATACAGCATTTGCTTAAACTACTATGAAATACTTGCGGTTTGAGTTGTTTTAATTTGCTGAAGTCCTGTTTGGAATAGATCCCCGCGTGACTAGCTGTTAGCTTGACTCCTCTATGAAAATATCTTCCTGGTTCTCCGAACTGAAAGCTCCTTCGTAAAGCAGTTCTGAAGAATTGCTGCGCAGACCAGACTTTTTTCTTCCTCTGGATGTTCATAAAACATAGATGAAGTCGGCCGTGTCCCGCACAGACGTGAGCTTTCAGAAAAGAAGCAGGCGAAACCAAAAGAGACGTTAAACAGAATTTAGCTGGGTTGGCGTATAGAGCCCAAGGTCTTAAATGTGTAACCAACATCTCCCTCATATCGCTTAAAAAATTAATTAATGAATTTTGTGGTTGACAAAGTTTTTAAACCAAGCTACAGTGCGCGATCATGGATTTTCACTTGCTAACTAATCTATTTGCTTAATCATGCGGCTACTCGCACAAATCAGATGTCATCCCTTTATCACATTATTGAGCCGCAGCACAGGCTTGTCTTTTTATATGTCGACTGTTCTGGTTCTGTTACGACCTCACTCCGCAGCACGGAAGAGCATTGGGGATGGGTTGGCTTCAACAGTCAATGTTCTTCTAATGTTGTAGTTTCTACTTGAAACATCACTAAAATCATTCCTTAGTAAGCTACGTGAACACAAATTCATTGAAATAAGCAAATGCTGCATCATAAGGGAAAGCAGACAGGTGTAAAGTCAGGACTCACTCTGGGCTGTGGCCCAGTAACAGTCGCAGGGAAGCCAGGTCTCCCTTGGCAGCAGCATAATGAACAGGTAGGGCACCTGTATCGGTGGAGGCCCCCGGGTCCCCCTCGCCACTCTTCAGCAGCCAGTCAGTGATCTCATGGTGACTGAAGCGGGATGCAAGGTGGAGAACAGTGGCGCCAGAGCTGTCTCTGTCCTGTAAACCGAATAAGAGGCGCAGAAACACAGAATATAAACTGATGCTTTACAGCATGAGCCCAACATGAAGATGTCCTGCATTCCTCCTCTTCAAACGTCTTCTACCAGAGCCTTGATCAGGTGATTCTAGACTACAAAGAAAGATTTTGTTGCAACACATCAATCAGAACTGAGTCACATGTGCTGAAACGATTAGATTTTTAACAGGATAGGCTCTAAAGGGCCTGCCTTGGTGTTGTGAATTCTGTTAATCCTATAAATCTGTTTTGTTGTAGAACATCTTATTCTCTCCCTCTTTTTATTATTCATTTGATGTATCCATTACACTGTTGCCCTTGTTTTTACACCTGGGCCTTGCTTCTTGATCAATCCCTCCTACAGTTCATGTGTAAGTTTCCCTCGTCGAATGTAGCTATTTTGAATCTATTTGTTCAGTCTCACATGTTGGATTATATACAAGTATAACTACAACAAATATAACCAATGCTAACTGTTACTTTGGGTTCAGTATTCACCCATCTAAAACATCAACTCTCAGCGTTTAACTTATTTAAAGCCATGCTACTTGCACAGCTCCCAATGATGTCTCACTATTCATGGAAACATGCAAATTAATGTAAGTAACTTGTGTAGATGTACACTAGAGCTGCTTCACAAATTAATGTAAGTAACTTGTGTAGATGTACACTAGAGCTGCTTCACACTCCTTGAAATCAAAAGATACACCAGGCTGAGAACTATTTGCATGCACCAGGAACACATGGTGCAATTTAGAAACCATGATGTTGAGTTCATGATGAGAGTTTAATCATTACAGCAGCCAGCATCTTTTCAACTAATATTTAACTGCCCTACTTTTTTTTATTATTTGTGACCCTCACAAGACACAGAATGTGCTGAACAAACATTCTGTTTGCAAATCCAGATCAACATATCTCATCACCAAACGTGAAGCTATGCAGCCAAATAAGCTTAATCAGAAAGTTATTGTTTAATTTTAAACATACTTCTGTTCACAGCTGATAATGTTTGTGWGTCATCTTCTGTTTTTTCTTGGGTTTGAGCAAAACAACTTTCAGGCAGACCATTGGGTGTCAGCTAAAATKGTGGTGACGATAATGCTTCTTCATCAGTTATTGGCAGAGTTGTAAAGTAACTAAGTACAAATACTTTGTTACTGTACTTAAGTAGAAATTTTGGCTCTATACTTTACTTGAGTAAATTTATTTCAGCCAACTTTTTACTTCTACTCCTCACATTTAAACAATTATCTGTACTTTCTATTCCCTACATTTTTAAAAATGGTAAGAAGTAGAAAGTCATTACTCCTATTTCATTCCAGCTGGTTATTGTTAAAAAAAATCTATCTCGATAAACTGGGCCTTTGAATTTAATTGTGGTTAGATGACAAGTATAAATATATACCATTCTGACACATACAGTATTAGTTTGTACACAATACATCATAGCTG